CCAAACCGCACCAATTAGCTGAGCAGAAAATGTGAGCAGATGCATGGTAATCTTTTTGAACAAAAGCACAACGCAAAGAAGAATTTAAATTGCGGCCCTGAAAGGGAAAACGAACAAATGGCACAGCCCCAGGACTGCACCAGAATGGCAGCAACGCTCCAAAATTATCCAAAATTCTCACAGGCCCAGGAAACTGATTGACAGCAAAGAAATTATAACCCAAACTGGGATTCCAGCAAGATGGCTAACTCTTGGTGTGCAAAATGGGTAGACACGCTGTCTCAGCCCTCTGGAAACAGACAAAGACTGGAAGGTCGCAGAAACTGTACCCTGTTCTGGCTCAGGCTTTTGAGTTCCAAAGCAGTGCCCGACATCAGGAATGGGCTGGATGAGGGCAAACAAGCCGAAGCTCACTCCGGACCAGACTGAGCGGCTCCTGGTTAGCCAAAGGGAAATTAGGGAATGAAGGCTCGACCTTCTGAATGCGGTTGCATGCCCCCGAACATAGTTTGGCTAGGCTCTGGCCGTCAATGGCGATGCGCATCTTTGGCTGTGAGCAGGTGTGCCACTGTCTCAACTCTACCAGTGCCCCCTGAAGGCACACCTGAGTACCCTACGCAAACCTGTCCAGGTTTTAAGAGATCCGAGCAAAGGCCGTCTGAACTGCCATCAGAGGTTTGCCTTGGGGGAAACACGAGGGAGGCCTTTCCCACGGCTTGCTTTGGGGGTCAGGGCCAAGCGGGTTAGGAAGACCGGGAAAAAAGTGCTGCGAAGTGAATTGGGCAAACCACACCAGCACTGAGCTGGACGTGGGTGGAGGGGAATTGCCACAGCCACTTTTTGCCCCATGACGGTGCATATCCAGCCAGTTCTTGATCAGCTTTCACGCCGCTCTCTGTGTGTGAATCTTCCCAACCCCAATGCCCTGTTTCCTATTCCAGTGTGCCTTCTTGGGGGCAACTTGGCCTTCACCAGGCAGTTAAATCCCATTAGCTTTAGGAAAGGCCTGCTCTTTGGGCAGGTGAAAACTCCTAGAACCAGGTTGTGGGAACGGATCAGCACAGCTGCCCAGAGGTTCAGAATGACTCTCCATGGAGACGTGGCTGCCGCGTGAAGGTCTCTGCTTCAGGACAGAGTTTATAAAGAAGTAATGTTTATTGCAATTGCCAGGTTTTCAAGGACTGCCAATTTTAAGCTGGGTGCAAGGAAGACCTGTTGGAGAACATTTTATCTATGCGAACAGGAGGAAGGCCTGGGGACAGACAGAGGAAGCGGCTTTGCTAGAGGGAACCTTTGCTTAAGGTAACTTATGAATCACAGTGTTATCATAACCTTGGGACATCCTTCATCCGTGCATTGATCCTTTATGGAGAGGTTCCTCCCACAGGGGGATCTTAAAATTTGCTCCTCCATTTTGCACATGTTTAAATATGAAACTGGATAAACTTGTTTGCCTCCCGTCTGCAACTATTTAACTGTATTTATATTTGCTAGTCATAAATGTATTCTGAAGTTCATGATGCCTTTTGTTTTAGAGGGATTGGATCCGGCCCGATCAGATCCACTCCTTCAACCAGGCTGCTCACACAGTGACACGAGGGGGAATTGTACCTTTTGACCAGACTGCTGAAACACCACTTTTTTTCTACCACCCTCATCTGGTTTTCCTTGCATGTCGTGTCCTGCAGGCAGGTCTAGCTATGCATAACCCACCCCGAAATAAAAATGCTATAAATAAAGTGTCCTCGACCTACTGCAGGTGCCAGTTTGTCCACTAAAAATAAATAAAAATCCCGATGCCTCAGCAGGGGAATAACTGGATCCAACGCTCCAATCTTACGGACTTGGAAAGCTGAGGTGGGAGAGCCATTTTCATTGGCTGAAGCTGAAGGTAGCAACTGGATTCTGCATTGTGAGCTCCTACACGAGATAATCCAGGCAAATGGCAGGAAGAAGCCCTGAAGCCCAAACATTGCACAAGGAAGCTGGCTTTGCCGTTTCCAGACAAGCCGGTTTGCTGACGGTGCTGAAGGTCCACGCAATCTGCAGCCTGGTGTTCCCCAGATGTGTAACAAGACCGCAGCCAGCTATAGACACGCAGCTCTCTCGCTGCCAAAATGCTCCGTTTACAATTCCTGTGTCACTTGACGGGGGAGAGCCAATAATATTGACGGTCATCTTGTGGATAACCGCAGAGCTGCTGTTTCACAAGCCGCAGGCCCAGGCTGAGTCCTGGAACCTGTGGCCACAGATAGCCACTGGCTACCAGGCCGGGTGGACAAAAACCCTGAGAGAAGGCGGTTTCCAACATAATCGTTGTCGCAATATAATCCCTGGGCTGAGACAACGACCCACATTCAAGGACTGAGGGTGGCTTGTGGCTGAACTGTGGGTGAGCACCTTGTCTGAAGCCAGCCATGCTAACAGGCCTTGGTTTGTTATCTCCCAAACAACCCATGAGGAGACCCTATGGTTGGTTGCTGGGTTGGGCACTGCAGGTTGCTCACCGTGGTTTGTTAGCTCGACTGGGTTCAGAAATCATGGGAACCCATCTTTCAACAGCTCGTGGTTCAGAGACAACTCATGCACAACCCATATTCAGTCTCTGAGGATGGGCTACCATGTCGCAAACATTCAGTCATCCTGAAGCAAGGGAAGAGAAGAACTTGCAATGGTGAGACGAGGCAGCTGAAACCTGCCCTGGTTTAGGGTGGAAAGGGGAGAATTCTGGCCAGACAGTGGTGGATGGGACAGGGGTGCCCCAGACATCTCTGTGAGAAGCAGCACCATAAAAGTGGAACGCTCTTAACGGTGCTGCAATTGCCTCCACTGGATATGTGACAAGGAGGGCGTGTTCTTGATACAGGACCTCCAAGCACAAATCCCCTTTCCCCCATTCACGGCCACCACTGAACTTTGGAGGGTTCAGCCTCAGCCAAAGACTGATCCTTAATCCTAGTTCTATCTGCTTTCCTTGAATATGTTTTGTCAATTTGCATTCAGTGCTAATGTTTCCGTGTCACTATTATTCCATGCAGAGGTTGTTTTGCTTTTTTCTGGCCAATGTTGCTGGATTTTGTGTTTTATTTACTGAACTCTCCCTTTCGGGATTGTTTTAGAATGGTAAGTGGCTAACATGTTTTATAAAAAGATAAACAACTGCTTGTTTAGGATTCACCGCAGGTCGCCAAGACCCAGAGAGAGCAGAAGGGGCCCATGGATGCAAAGACGCGGCACAAAACGAACCAGAGTTTAAGAGGGGTTACTGCAGGAGACAAGAGGCTGAGCGCCACTGGAGGAGCAGGTGAAGAGAGGCCTGCGTGGAACACAGTTTGCACTGGGTGGCCTAGGCTGGGTGGGGTTGCTGGTGCAGTGGGGTTGGGGTCAGGTGGACTCCGGGAGGCAGTGGAGGACAGGAGAGCCTGGAGGACTGTCGTCCATGGGCTATGCAAAGCATCAGACGTGACTTTGCAGCTAAACAATCAACTGCGCATGCAGATAAGTTCGAAGAAGTACGTACAGGGACGGCCTGGGTCTGTTAGATTACCCCTGCGTGAGCTGGAACGAACCCGGTCAAGTTAGCAAGCACATCGTACCCGCGAAAGATTCCCTGAGAACTGCTAGGTGGGTGTGTCAGGGGAGGGGACGCACGGACTGGAAAATGCACCCCGATCCACACACCGGGTTGTGTCAGAGGCAAGTGCAGCCATATGCCGAGGCATCCGACTTTCAGTTCTTCAAAAGACGGGCATCCTCATTTGTCTATCACAGCTGCACAGCTGCCACAAGAGCAGAGGGTGGGGGGGGGGGGAGCAGAAACCAGGAGAAAATGGGAGCCCCTTGTTTGCAGGCTCGTAAAGCACAAGACGCATAAACAGGAAGACAGAGACCAACTCTCCTATTAGAGTTTGTCACCTGTTGCTCTTCAGATGTCGTACACTGCAAGGTCTATCAGCTCCCGCCAGGAAGGGAGGCTGGCTGTTACAGCCCCAACCACCACAAAAAGGCAAAGAGGGGAAGCAGGCTGCTCTTGCACAGGCACGTTCATTCAGGAAGGGAAAGTGTGCTTGCAGTTGGCAAGGTCAAGAGCAGGAAGCCCCTCTCCTGACCAGGAAAAAAGATCGCTATTTGCCATTGCCATGTGGGACAGCAGCAGGAATCCCAACTCATGGCCTTCAGTGGAAGGAGCCATCCAGTTTATGTTGGAAGGAAGTCCGATCTTGGGGACCCCCCTCCTGTTCGCCCCTTGCACCGAATAACCAGCCTTCCCTTCCCTAGGTGCTCCAGCAGAGAACCATTCCTGAACATGACACGCTTCTGAGGTGCCGCCACCCCCGCGAACCCCGCTATTCCAGCTCTCCAAGAACATCGGACAGGGCTCGCAACAGGGGGGCCCAAGGCCGCAAGAATTCTGCCCAGAGGCACCTGGGCACTCGGCAGGTGAGCTCCACCTCCGCGGATGGTCTTGCCACGCCTGCCCCCTCCCCGGTTAGGCGATGCCTCCTTTCCTTGCTGGCTATTGCACTTAAAACCTCTCTGGTCCTTATTTTAACTGAAAATCGGGACACGTGAGGGGCGACCGTCCCGGCCTCCGTCGCCCGCGTCAGCATGTCTGCAGCAGCGGAATGACGAGCGACGCCCCCCGGGGACCCGAGCGTGGGCAACCGTATCCCCACAGCCATGCCCCCCAGGTGCCCTGCGTCTGGCCTACCCACTGTTCGGGCCCTTCCCCAAAGACCCTCCCAGTCGAGGCGGGCGGCCCTTGGCCCCCCGCCCTGGCCCGCCAGCTCGGCCGGAGGTGAGGGGAGGCGCAGGCCGGAGAGGCGCTCCGCACGCGCGCAAGGCTCGGCCGCCTCTGAGCATGTGCGGAGCGCCCTCGGCCCGGCCCGGCCCGGCCCCGCCTTTCCCGATCCTCCCCGGCCGGCCGAGACAAAGCCCGCGGCGGCGCCACGTGCGCCCCGGCGCCACGTGGGTCCCCGGCGCCCCGCGGAGCTACTCACGGACGCAGAGGCAGGCGACGAGCTTGGCGGCCGGCAGCGGCACCGGGCAGGTGGGGAAGAACGGCTTGAGCAGGTAGGTGGCGAAGACGAAGGCCACGATGTACTGCGACGAGGGCCGGATGATGAGCAGCTCGATCCAGAGCTTGAGGAAGGCGGGCAGCGAGCCGTACACCTCCAGCATGTAGGCGTAGTCGCCGCCCGACTTGGAGATGGTGGTGCCCAGCTCGGCGTAGCAGAGCGCGCCCACGATGGAGAAGACGCCGCAGGCCGCCCACACGGCCAGCGACAGCCCCGGCGAGCCGGCCTCCATCAGCACGCCCGTGGGCGTCACGAAGATGCCCGAGCCGATGATGGTGCCCACGATGATGGCCACGCCGTTCAGCAGCGTGATGTTGCGCTTCAGCGCCACGCCGCCGCCCTCCGCGCCGCCGCCGCCGCCCGCCGCGCAGCCGTTCTCGCGCGCCGCCGCCGCC